GCTGTCCCTGGACATTAGAGCTATTTCCATAGCCAAACCAAGAGTTAGTGTCTTGGGGTGGGGGAAGTATGGGGTCTTTTTCTCTAGAGTTTGATCAACAACAATGAGGATTTTCATCAACATTAGATGGCTCCAATGACATGATAATGAAGGGATAAGCTAGATAGTGTATTGATTACAAATCAGTGCTCTTTGAGTCTACATAGGGATACAGCTATTCTGGCTAACACTTTGTACTGATTCTATGCTGGGCAGTTATTACCTTCCCCTATATTTAGGCAAAGTCCCTTCCCATAACTGAAACATTTATAAAGATGGCACTATCCAACCTGGGCTAAACTAACATTCCTACCCTCTAGAAAATGACAATTGAAGAGGAATAATCCTGCCTTTGGCCCTAAAAGAGGCAACATGCTCCATTACCAGTGAAGACCAAGAAATTAGAATGCTGTGCTTCACTGTACCATGAGCATGATTTTTCTGGTCTCAAGTTAAAAGGAAAATGATAAAACAGGCCTCCTGAACATAAGCTAAATGTACCTATGAAATGAAAGGTGACTGTGATGATCTCTTCCCCATTCCACGTCATGTCGAGTGGCATGGCACCCCAAACTCATCATCTAACTCAAGCATGGTCCAAGGGTGATTTTATGTCAGTATAATGGAAAGATCTAATATATCAGGATTTCTATATGTAAAATTTATCTGAGAGGCAGTGTGGCATACTAGAAAGAGAGCTGGCCTTAGAGTCAGGAATTGAAGTCGTCTTGCCTCTGATACATACAAACAGTAGGACCATGGGTAAGTCACCTAACCTCTTAGCTCCCAAAGAACTCTTTAAGACTGAAAGTTAGACATCGATTGCTGTTCTGCATCAACAAAAGGGATTTCTACACTAGGACTGCTTAAAGTGGAACCATAGGTCTGGACCAAAAAAGGGAAAACCAGCCAAACTCTGTCTAGAAAAAAATAAGTGGTACAAGGCAATGTGTTAGAAGGCCACTATAATTTACTATTTGGTAAACAATTTTCAGGTAACATTTGAACAGGAGGATGCTTTATTTGAGGAAGGAACAAATTAAGAACAATTGAATACCATTCTGTGCTCTCTGGCCTTCATCTGAGCTCTTCCTATCACTTCCCATAGACCACTGAAATCTCATCTATTTTCAGAATGTTCTATTGCTGTTTAAACACTGTCCAAGGAATTCAAAGTCAAGGTTGAAAAATCCACTTCAAAGAGGTCATTCTCTTTCTTTATGGATTGTCCAGATCACAGAGAATGGGCCGTATGAGTGCTATCTCCTCCAGAAAGGAAACTTAACTAGAGGCTAGGAAGGCTCAAGAGGCCAGAAGAATGTTCCATTAGTCACTTTGTTCTCTTCGGGGGAGTATATGGGAATTTTGAAAAGGTGTGCCTGAGTTATGGGGCCCTGAGAGTCATATGACTAATGTAAGAGATTTAAGAGAAGGAACCAAGTGGATTCCAAAGCCTGTTACACACATTCCAATGAAACCAAGGAACACAGAGGTCTGCATTTTCACATTTCAAAGCATGTGGAAAGATGCATCTTTGCATACATCACCTGAGAGAATGTTACCTGAAAATTGTTTACCAAATAGTAAATTATAGTAGCCTTCTAACACATTGCCTTGTACCACCTATTTTTTCTAGACAAAGTTTGGCTGGTTTTCCCTTTTTTGGTCCAATCAGTTACTCTAATTCTCATAGACTAAGTCATGGCAAAAAGCTGGTATTTGGGGCTTAAATGATAGTCAACTAGTATTTATGAAGCACCCACTATGTGCTAGGCACTTTGCTAAGTGCTGGATACCATCAATGTAGGTAATAAACCCCTTAATGTCTTGGGGAAAAAGAATAGACTTCTATATGGATCTTAGTAAAAGAATACAGTCATAGAACTACATCTGGAAGAGATCTTAGAAGCTAGTAAATCCAATGCTCTCATTTTTTCAGACAAGGAAACTGAGGCACCTAGAGCTTAAGTGACCGATCAAGGGTGAGAAAGCTAGTAAGTAAAGGAGGCAAGATTTGAACCCAAGTCTTCCTGATTCCAAATCCAGTGCCCTATCCACCACACCAAGATGCACTGCTCCCAAGTCATCTCCATGTGGTTTGGAGAAAGGCTTTCTATGTGACCATGGGTTTGCTCAGCTCATCTATGAGGCAGGGAAAGATGGCAGGTGCTGCCAGAGACACTCAGCAGGAGGGGCAGCTGGACAAAAGCACCACCACGAAACATCAGGGCTCTGAAGCTGAGCGAGTTCTCTGCTCGATTCCTGACCCATGTTTAACAATTCCGATGTGCTAGGGAGCAGACAACCCAAGCCTGGGATGTTGACTCTCCCTCAGTCCCTCTTCAGCAGGCAATGAAAGCGGGATCCACTTTGAAAATATTCCTCCATCATGCAAACTGACATAGGCATGCTTTTCAAAAACCCACAGCCAATCTGTTGATCATTACTTATTTACAAAGGCCTTCGGGCAGAAAGTCCTGTAAAAACCATACTTGATATGGTATACACTAGCTTTTTCTGCTTGTGGAAAAGAAAGTCCCCCCCAAGGCTACCTCAAACCATCACTTTCCATCGCACATAAAATGTACCGTGTAACACTAAAGTATTTAATATATATAGTATAATATATCTACAGGAAAGGCATTTGTGTAGAAGTGTGTTACCCTGGATTTGGTAATTTGATGTTTTGCTGAAGGCTATGACTTGAAAAAGCCTGCACCTCTTACAGAGGACCTGTCATCTCAGTACCCAAGAGCCAGCAGAATAAAGAAGCACCCTTAAGCAGCAAAACTTTGACACAGCTTTGAAGCATATGAAAACAGTATAACTCCCCAGAATTATTATTACTCAAGATCAAAGCAATGAGCCATACTTTACATAGCAAACAGGGACAGGGAATTTGGCTCTAAAGGTTTCAGAATTTGCAGATTTCTATTTATTTATGTATGCATTTATTTATTTATTTGTGCCTCCCAATTGAGGTGAAGGAGGGCGCCTGTCCTCCCTCTGTTCTCCACCACTCCCTCCTCCAACCTCCAATGGATAAAACTATTAGTGCAGGATAAGGAGATTACCCAAAGGTGAGTAAATTGGAGATGAATGCTAGCGTGACAACTGGCATCATAAAAATGAGAAGCTTGGCAGTTGGTTCATTTTATTCCTTCTCATAAACTGTAAACAAGCATTTAAATCAGTGTCATCCAAGCAAGCCTGAGCTAACAGGAAGGTAGAGAACTTTTAACAAAACATTTAACTAGAATCAATGGTCAATGGGAGGGGAATAAAGGCTACAGCTGGATGGACGAACCTTTCTCTTATATCTCTACCTATCTGTTTGATTGTTTTGGCCTCGATAGAGGCAAATATGAATGTGTACATATACATTAATATACTTAAATAATCAGTATCTCAAGTATATATACATACACAGATACATACTTACATATATAAAAATGATGATGATAGCTAGTGTTTATTTATATAGTGCTTTAAGTTGCTTTAGAAATATTCTCTCCTTTTTTATTTACAACAACCCTGGGAGGTAGGTTCCCCCCTCCCCATTTTACAGATGAAGACACTGAGGCAGCAGAAGTTAAGTGACTTGTACAGGGTCAAACAACTGGTAAATGTCTGAAGCTGGATTTGAACTCAGGTCTTCCTGACTCCAGGTCCAGTACTCTATGAACTAGGGTACTACCTAGCTGCCAATATGTAATTTATAAAATTAATATTACATGTAATCTTGAAAGTGTACCCTTGATAAGGACCTATAAGTATAGACCCTGAAGGCAGGAATAGATGCCCGCTGAAAGTGGCAATATAAGGAGTGTCTGAAGAAGAAAATAATTATTCATCTATGTCGATAATCAAAGGGAGGGAAGTGGTGGATGGATGCAAGAAAAAAAAAAAACAAACAAACAAACCTAGAAGACTGATTATGTTTCATTGTGATAATGAAAGCCATTTATAGAGAGCTCCATAGATCAGCAAATCACTCCAGGACCATGGTAATTGGTACCCAGAGAGTGGGTCTGGTTAGTGGGAAGTTTATAGTTTGAAGCCTGGCAGGGAAAGTATGGGATCATCTCCTCTAGAGTCTGAGAAACAACAGTATAGATTCCCATCGACATCAGATGGCTCCATTGAAATGATGACAAAGGGATGTACTAGATGGTTCTTTATGGTTACCATTGAGTGCTGGGGGAAATAAACTCCTGGGTTAGGCAGGAGAGAAGGAGGAGGTAGAAAGTTGCAAAGCTAGGTTAAGGATTGAAAAGCAGAGAGTCTAAGAAGAGGAAAATGGAGATTTGGTTTAAATATAGTTTCACCCTTAACTCCTAATGGATGCTCTCATCTAAAAAATCCCCCTGTATTTCATAATTAATATTGCTTTTAGCCTGAGTGAAGCCAGATTAGTTTTGAACTTTGCTTTGGCAAGTACACAGATTATTAGACTTTTTTATCAGTCAAAATCAATTAATGGAAATTTGATTTCAATCGACAGGATAAAAGGAAGGTAATATTCAGGTTCATTTTTGATTGTGATGATACATCTCACATATGGCCTTAAGTACAGAAAACAGTCCTCGGAGGGACTCCAGCAGAAGGAGAAGTGCCAGAGGCAAAGTAACCCCGCGATTTCCTCTGATTGGTTCGTGCTATCATTAGTGCCAGGGCTGTTTAAGAACAACACACAGACAGGACAGGGTGACAGCTAAGACTTTAAAGCCTATGTATTTTTCAAACAGCTTTTCAAACTGTTTTTCATGACAGAATTTTTTTTCAGCTCTATCATTAACTGCTGACAAGCTGACAGAATAAATACTTCAGCCTTTAAGAAGCCATCTAATGATCTCTATCCCCCAACCCCATTTTTTGAGGGGAGGGAAGACTCTTGAGGGAGGAGAGAGAGAAGTAAGCTGGAGAGAGAACAGCCCGCCGTCCCCCTCCCCATTCCTTACCTCATCAGCTTAGGAGAAGAGTTGGGCGAGTTCCTCATGCCTCCATTCCGCTGTTTTTTTTTGGGTGACAGCGTCGATGGCTGTTCATCTTCAACTGGAAATACAGGCAACTCATGAGATTATGAACAGTTTGAGGGCAGACAGTGAAATATAGGCAAGATATCAAAGGACACTCACTCAAGGCTCAGTCATTCACTGTTCTCTTTTTGGACTCAAAAACAAAATACCATATATGTTAGTCAAAGAGACTAGCTAAGGAAGGAAAGGGAAGAGGGAGGAAAAAAAAGAAAAAAAAATCCTCTCAAATAACAGGATTTTTAAGCATAGCAGTTCAAGTTAACAAAAGTAGTTTGGAAATAACCCTTACCAAAAGAAAAATGAATCCTAAAAATGGTCTGCACACATAAACAAGAAGGTGGCACCAGTAATCGGTATTCTGGGAGTTAATTTTGGTTAACCCTTGGTGCTAGTGGATGACAGAATAAGTGTCCCTCTAAACCTAACAAGATAAAGTTATATTTGAAATACCAACATAACAGCTGCCAGCTTATTCCTTCTCATGAACCAGCTCAAGTGGTTCTCACTTCTCCCATGCCAGACAATAGTGTTTGAGCAGCAGTCAGGATTGAAAGCCTTAATAAATCAACGTTTTAATCAGTAAGGATTGCAAACACTGGCATTTGATTGTGCCTACATCTCCAGCACAACTCCCTCTCCTGGCACTCAACCCTTCCAAAAGGGCAAGAGTGGGCATGGGGCTTGGAGAGAACAGATCTCATCCTAACAGACTGTGATGAAATAACTGAAATAAGAGTTGGAGAGATGCGTGAGAGTGACCACTGTATAACAGAAGGTACCCATTGACTGAGCTCCTTGTGCTTTCAGTGGGGGCTATGTGAATCAAAATCAAACAAAGGCCATTTTCTAACTGAGAAAAATTAAAGGATGTAGGTTGCTAAGCAGTGTACAATATAACTTAGAAACACCACGGCATACTTTGTTGCTTTTGCCCCAAGCCAAGCCATACTCTAATAAGCTTTGTGGTGGTATTAGCATTCATCATGCTTCTTTCCAGGCTAGGTATTTGATTGGTAATTAGTAGACATATACCATGTCCATCACCAAGGGACATTGGCTGTAAAATCCTAGTTTTCCTCTTCCCACCCTCACAATTCAGACTAAAGCTGTAATGTCAAGAATGAAAAAGAGAAAGCTTGAATTCCTATAGTTGGCTGCAACACAGAGGAGGAGGAAATAAAATTGAAGCTGATAGCACGTGGTGGTTACCTTAAAGCTAAGAAGAAAGAGAATAATAGTAATAATGTTAAAAGAAGTTTAATGCAGATTACTTGGGTGCAAATCTAAAAAAAAAAAACAAACAAACAAACAAACAACCAAACACCTCAGCTACATAGGAGCATCCAGGAAGAAAAAAATTGTATCTGAACATGCATTTCATCACCTCTAAAAATAAAACAAAACTCATGAAATTGGGCTTATAATAAAAGAATAATATATTTCTCCAAAATAAATTAAATAATCCATTTCCTCTTCAGCTCTAATTTATGGCATTTTGCATATGCCCCCTTCTTCTGCTTGTCTATCTCTGTAATTCCAAGGATTCACAAGCCCAAGAGAGAGAAGCAGGACAGTGGCAAGATTTGCAAAACAAAGATGGTAGTAACAGAGAAGGGGAGGAGAACCATGCCAATCCATGCAAACCAACCTATCACACTCTCTTTTCTTCTGCTCAGGACCATCCCCACTTCGATTGAAAAATGCTTTGTCCAACCCAATCAATCACATAGTGTTTCAAGCAGGAACTAAGATGCTCATAACATATCTCTTATCAGAAATGGGTATCCAGAGCAAATCACACAGAGACTAAACACATTTAGAAGATTAAAGGAAATAAATACAAGCTATATAAATGGTATTGAAAAAATCACTTCCAGTTGATATGCATCTCTGAGCAAGTAAATAGGAACTTGGAGCTTGACCTGAATTAATCTTCCCTTTAAAGGATGAGAGAATGTGAATCTGAGTTAGTAATATGAAAGGCATGTAGTAAGAGTGTGAGTTTGTATGTGTGTGTGAATGTGTTCATGTTTCAATCTGTTTCATTGGTGGAAGGAAAACCCTATGTCTACACACATGCAAGGTCTGATTTATACTATGGACCAGTTGCTGTGATTCCCTGGGTATCCAAGGCATTTTAAATGAGCTGTGCGGAATGCTAAGAGCAAAAATTAAAACAAAAAACAAAAAGAGAGGTGGGGCGGAATGAATGTTGTTATTTGCTGCTGCTGCTGCTGCTGCTATTATTTTCTCCTGGTTAGAATGACTTATGTTTTCTGTTTTCAGATGTTAAGGGTCAGTCCAAGGCAGGCCTTTCATCTAACATGGTCTAGCACCATTAGCTTTTTCCAAGGCTACCAGATGTTACAACTATTTGGGACAATTCTAGAGTCTTTATTAGTTAAGACTCATACTAGCTGCCATCATTCTTGCCATTCCTTTTTGTTTCTATTGTTTGATTCTGGTTTTCCCCTTTGCATTGTGTCGACAATAAATAATCTCCCTTTCTCCTTAAGTGCCCATCACATTTTACCTTGTCACTCTCTGTATTTACCTGCAGTACTTTTCAGCTACCAGGCTCACAAGTTAATACCTGTTACCCAGATCCGGAGAGACACCTCATTTTGGTGGTAAAGCTGAGCTTCACTCTAAGCAAGGGAACCATTTATTTTCATTGCAACTAGGAAAGATCATCCATCATAATCATATTGCATTTAAACTGGGATTTGTTCTCTTAAATGAAACTTGTGTTCAAAGGTTTCCTTCGGCACTCACAGCCTGGAAATTTAGATTTGTTCCCCGAAGAGAAGAGGGGAAATGTCTCCAGCTTAAATATATGGACACTGTGTAATGAAGACCATTACATATGGCTTGGATCCCACAAGAGAAGCAGCGATAACTTCTTCTTCGTAAGTAGGATATAAACCATATTTAATTATTATCCTTTATATGGATTCTATCAATTTCCTGCATATTTAAAGAAAGTGGATCTAGGAAAACTTTTAGTTAAGCTATAAAATATAATTTTCATTTCATGGCTCTTGTGTCTACATGAGAAGAATAAAAATTGAATTAAAAAGGAGTCTTAAATTTACTTACTCTCTTGAAAGACAAATGGATTCAAATAATGGGCTACTATAGTAAGACAGCCCAACTTTAGAGGCCCCATATTTAACCTGCTGTTTTGGCTAATTATCATATGCCCCTGTTTCTAACTGTTTGCACTCACCTTCACACTTTGGGAACCATATTCAGAGGCAGTCATATTAAGCAAGGCTGCTTTTTCCCAGTTTCTTGAATTTGCAAACAAGTTCAGGAATCCAACCTGGAATTTTTATAGGGCCTGAACTCCATCCAGCCTCCAAGTCCTCATAAAATTCAAGAGCTTGTTTTTGCACATCTCTAAGTATAACACTTAATGCGTTGTTGTAACATCCCAGAGCTCGCTTGTCTAATAGGCACCGAATCTAACAGTTTTACAGTTGGAGAAGACTCGTTACCCGAAAAATGTCAGGCAAGTCTAATGAGGCTTCAGATCCTCTGGTTTACACTGGAGTTTAATTTAAAGTTACAATGATGTTTTAACATGTTTGCTTATACTTGAGTAAAGAGGATTCATTATTTCAATGACATAACCTCCAGACAACATTCTGTGAATTGATTTAAGATGTGGTGGTAATTCTAACTGCCTTAATGCAGAGCTGAACATCTGTAACAACATTTTGCTTGACTTTTCATCGGCATTCTCCTTTCAAGCAAGAGAAAGGCAATGTCTTCCAGAAACATTGGCCAGAAATCTTGGCTTATTTCAAAAAGATTTTTTATTATTATTTTTTAAAGCTAGATTTTTGTGGAAATCTGTTTCATTTTCTGTCCTTAGCCAGGCTAACAAATACTTGCTCTTGTCACAGCTTACCAAGCCCTCTTTATGAGCCCTTGGAAGCAGCTAGGGCATCTGTCAAAACTTTCAGAGTTTCAGCAAAACCCAAATGTCAGTGTGTGGTGAACCCTAAACTGAGCTCCAGCCTGGGAGACACTCCCCACTCTTACTCCCCTTTTTCCTGAGAAGAGGGAGGAAGATGGTGGCCTGGTGACCAAAGGGGCAGGTTATGTCCTGCTGGCTGGAAGTAGAAAGGATTCAAAGGAAATAAAACCCAGAAGATGATAAAACGCAAACCACCCATAAACATTAGTTGACTAGCTATCTCCATTACATTATTAATCACCACATCTGGAGCAACCCACATCTGCAAGCACTTAACAGGTCATTAGTAATGTCATTTTCACACTGAAAACACTCAGAGTAAAAGTCATGCAAAGTGCTTTGATTGTCTAGGCATCTAGCAAGAGGGAGCAGCTATGACAACCGTGGGCTAGCCCCAGTACCGGGGGATGGTATCAGTATTTTACAGGCAAGCTGAATGCATGCTACAGTGGATAGGAGGTAGATTTCTCTTGCTCAACTGCACTCAGAAGATAACAGGGTAATAGAGAGAGGTGCTGGGTGAAATAGACTCCCTTTACTGTTAATTAAGATTGGGGACAGGTTCTGGTACTCCTTCACCTGGCTTGGCCACAAGATGTGATTTTGAAGTTGCGTTCTGGAGCTCAAATGCGCGTTTGGGGTAACGTGATTTGGCTTCATCCTTAACTGCCAAACAATAAGGAAAAGAAAGGAAATTAATGTTTCTCATTTGTTGCTATTGTTTAAAATGTTTCAAACCAACTGTAACATGAAGTAGAATCAGAGCTTTGAATTAAAACTGGAGAATTGCAGATTTTTCCTTCTAACACCTTCCTGGAAAGTATTTTGTTGTGGTGGTTACTGATGTTGGCGTTGGAAACATCTGTGGAATGATTTATTCACCAAGATGATCATCTTCAAGGAAGAGTTGCCCCCCAAAATACACATATCTGCCCTCACCATCAGTGTACATGCACACATACACACATATGCACACACATTTCCATAGGAGAAGATTCTTTGTCTTTTAAGCCCTGTTAAAAATTACAGTTACAGGAAATTATTATCAAATTCTAGGTCATCAGCCCATATGAAGCTTTTACTTTTTGAGAAGGTCTGATAGTGGAGCCTTTGTCTTGATATAGCTGCCTAACCTGCAGAAGATGGCTTGTACCTATTGTTCTGGAGACAAATAAGAGGGATGGTCAAGATGCCTCCAACAGGGTGGTGGTGACAGCAAATATCAATAGAACATGAGCGTATTTTAAGATCTTAAGAACATGTTTTAATGAGATAACACGTAAGCAAAGAGAGGATTCACATTCATAACCAAACAATTTTCCCTCAAAATTCTGGCCATCTAATCTCAGAATTTTAGGAGCATCTGGGTAAGGAAAAAGTGGGTAGCTATTCTATAAAGAACCAAACTCAAAGAACTGACCCAGTGCATCTGACTAGGAGTAGATCAATAACATCATCTTTGCCTATGGGTATGTTATTAGCTATTCAAGAGAAATTCTCTTACAGAAATAACACATCTATCTGTGAAATCAATGGATCCGTGACATTTACAGTTAAGGGGCTGAGGCCCAGTGGGGCCGGAATTCAACAAGGTGCTTATCTCTCTCTGTTGACCAGTTTGATGTCTCTCCTCTGCCATAGAGTGTGCCAGGAGGTTTCAGAAGGAGGCCAGCTTTGTTAACATCCCAGAAAAGGCCCTCACTGAATGGCTCTAGGCTCTTTTTGAAATATCATAATGGGCCCCAAGAAGAAAGGCAAGATGTAATCTGAGAAAGACAGAAGCGATAGTTTGGCAAACCTAGGTGATACTGGAAAGAATCCTACTGCTGGAATGAGAAATGTAAGAGGAAATGCCGTTGACAAATGTCAGTCTTTGAGATTTCAGGAACATGCCAGACTAGGATCACAGAACCATATATCTGGACCCAGAAGAGAACTTAGGGACCATCCAATCCAATACCCTCAATTCACAGAGGAAGAAACTGAGGTCAAGATAAGTAAAGTAACTTATTCCAACCCAGGTTCTAGCACTCTCCCCCTTATATCACGGTACCTCTCCACTATACAAGGTGGACAGCAGTGTCCACTACGGACGTGGAGGGAATAGGATGTGCTGGCTGAGGAGGGGAAACTTGTTGGGTATTTTCAATTTCCAGATTTTATAAAATATATGAGAGTAGAGAAAAGAACTACAAGGATCAATAAGTTATAAAGGACCAGGTGAGTCAACTGACTCAAGAATGTTAAAATAATTTTTAAGTTTAAAAATTACTATAATTTCTCATATCTATATAAATGTACTTTAAATTAAAAAGACAGGATGGTGTTAGAATTTTACTTTGAAATAAAAATGCTCATCCCACTGTCTCTAGTGTGTGCAAATGCACTATATCAATTAATACAGCTTGGTTCTTCAAGCTATTCTTAAATTCTAGTCCTTTCAATAGAGCGTATTAGTGGCTTTTTTTTTTCTTCTCACTAGGTGACTGAAATTTTATAAGTTTGAATCCAAAAACACAAAATAATTAAAGAATCCAGTTACTATGCAGGAGGAAGAAAAAAAAATCAGAAATATATGATCAGAAATCCATTCAGCCTAGAATACAACGCCCTCCATGGGAAGGCTATTTGGACTATAGAATGCTGTAGGATGAATATGGGTTGATTTGTTATTGTTGTTATAGTTGATGAAGTTCCTTACTATAATCCTCACATTCTGCATCCTGGTAAAAAAAAAAAATAAGTGACTAAAATCCAACTGGAATCTCATATCTGTAGTTTCAAGATTGATATAAATTTGCCATTTGATCCAATCAAATTAACCTAGATAACTGTCACACCAATTTAGAGAACAACTCATTTGTAGAATGTGTTTCCCACATCCTTCTTTGTAGGGCCAGTCTACCATTGGAACATTAGAGGTTTTTCTTCCCTGTCATGAAATTCACTTTCAATCAATCAATTAACAAATATTTATTAAGTATCTGTTAATGTGCAAGATACTGTGTTTTCAAAGAGATGCCTCACACAAGTGTTGCTGTGCCTTTCATTCTTGGGCCAAAGATTGAGAGAATTTAATTCATTTCAAAGGATAAATACAAGGGGGAAAGGAGTACCTTTAGAATGTCTATGACTCCACCAATCCCTGAGGAGTAAGAAAGAAAAAGGGAATTGGAAAGAGACTTAAAAATATATATGTTTAGAGACCATCAAGATGGATCCTTTGTGATCACATATGTTTGACTTCCCTTTAATCCCTCTCTGCCTCTGACCGGTCTTCTGCCTTCTCCATGTACATTTCTCCTTCTAACTCTGGAGAGACTGATAGTCTCTAAGAAGTTCTTCAAAGACTGATTGTTCAAGGAGTGAGATGAAACATTTTTGGCCCCATTTCCAACAGTCATAGCTCTTCCCTTTTTCTCTTTACCTCATCTGTGCCAGCCACCCATAACTCCTTCATCTATTTCCACTTATCCTCAAGGAGAATGTTCTCCTGTCTCCAGTGGAGAAACATTTGAAGTCAGAGAATAAAAGTTAAGGAGGCCAGATGACTGGGTAGAGTCTCTTCTGACCTGGCGTTATTACCCAATGCTAACAATCCCTCTGCTTCTGGTGCTGATAGATCCTTTGGGTCTTGGTATCTGAGCAAAGATGGATTTTTTTTGTGCCACCTAAGCTGGTTGTTTGACTACCCAACACTCCAAGACTCAGGTAAACAATATCTACCAGAAGCAATTCCTCAGAACTGTCAGCATTTGGTACATGTCCACCCAGCACCCTGTACAAGACAACAGATTAGCCATTAGACTCGATATGTTGAAAATATACAGCTTCAACCTTTCCCCAGCTTGCTCAGAGCGATACATAGATGATTATTTCAACTGTCAGCTGCCGTATAGATTTAAGCCCCTGCACAATAACTCGTGGATTCATCTGCCCCTTGTCAGACGTACACAGCTTTAGTTGGAGGATACATGGTGTGGCAGTTTCACTGCGGATCCAGAATGATCCAGACGGCTGCTGTCTCTTTGTTAACAGGAAACCAAACTGATGAGTTTGTAATGTATTTCTTATCAAAGGTGGTTTCAGAAAAGAAAATGTACCTCATCAGTTTGGTTGGAATTTAACATATGCCAGGATATGGGCTTAATCAGAACATCTCTGTTATTTTCTCTAAGAAACATATAATTCTATATTCATCTCTTTAAAAATCATTTTGCTTATGAATTATGTATTTATGAATTTATAATTATCACTTGATTTCCCCTCCATTCCTACAATACATGTAATGAAATCATTGACTGCATACTACAAGGCAATGATGCCTGATAGATGAAAGCTTATTATTGTTTTTTTAAACTGAAGGGTACATCAGAAACGGTCACTGTGAATGGAAAGATTATCATTTTCTACATAGGCATGTAATACAAAATGACCTCTATTTGTTGAAAAATATTTTCATGTAATTACACATAAGGAACTCTAACAATATGGCTGATTGTCAAATGAGTTTGAATACACTATGAGGCAAATCACATTCACCCAAAACATAAGAGCTTCATAAAGGGGGAAAAAAATCAGATAGCATAATAGATTTACATAGGCTAAATTTTAGTTCTGTCCTCCATCACACTGTTGTTAAGAACTTACGTGAGATGTTTATGCCTTATATATTTCTGTGTGTAAGTGTATATGTAGTTGCCCCAGTCAATTCTCCAGGGTTATAAATTACAAATAAGTTGCCAATCTGTGACAGTAGAGTAAGTTTCCACATTGGAAGATCTCTAAATCGATAAAATCATGGGTCCACCACCACATACATATACATACATACACACAAATATAAGTACATATACATATATATATACATGTATACTTTATATAAACACACATATACAATTATATACATGTATATAAACACACAGATGTGTGCCTGTATGTACACATATCACGTGCAAGTTCCCCAATTGACTGATTGATACAATTAAAAAACAAAACAAGAGGCATCTATCAGTCACTGGATGGGGGAGCATATATGAAGTCTTCTACCTGCCCCACCCCCTCTACCCCAAGCTGAAAGGGATCATTTCTTTCTCCATTTTCCCAAGAATATTTTTTCCTGCATCTTTTTGGTCCCTATCAAGCAGCTAGGTGACACAGTTGACAGAGTGCTGAACCTAGACTGAGAAGATCTGAGTTTCAATCCAGCCTCATATGCTTCTTTGCGGTGTAACCCTGGGAAAGTCATTTAGCCTCTGTCTGCCTCAGTTACCTGAACTATAAAATGGGGATCATTTACCTACCTCTTGGAGTTGTTATGAGGATCAATGAGATAATTTGGGTAAAGTGTTTAAAACAATTCCTGGCTCATTCAATAAATCCTTCCCTCCCTCCCTTCCTTTCTTCCTTTTATCCTCCCTTTCTTTTTTCTTTCTTTCTTTCTCTTCTTCCTTTTTCCTTTCTTTCTACTCCCCTCCTTTCCTTCCTTCCTTCTTTTCTTCCTTCCTTTCTTCCTTCCTGCCTTCCTTTCTTCCTTCCTACATTATATTCCCTCCCCATTAGATTGCAAGCTTCTTAAAGTGAGAACTGTGGTGTTTTTTTTTTAATCTTTGTATGATCAAAGCCTTGAACATAGCAAACATATCCTAAAATCAATCAACCAGACA